ATTATTGAAAAAAATTTCATCTTAAAGTCTTGATGCCTGTGGGGAATAAACTGATAATTTATGTTATTGCGAATGATATTAGAAGAAAAAAGTAAAATCCTGAAAATGCAGGTCTTTTTTACGATGTGAGTTTTCTTAATCCTTTTTTTATATTATACATAGGACACTTCTCCTGCCTATCAAACCAAAGATAAATGCACATATAAATTCCGTTGGGAAACTGCTTCTGCTTGCCTTATCACCAATGTCGTGGGCTCAAACTGTTCTGTACAGGACCCCAAGTCAGACACTGTCTTCAATCTCTTCCCTCTCAACCGAAAATCTGATAATCCCTACGTTATGAAAACACTAGCTGGAAGGACTTTTCAGTTGAATATATGTGGTAATCTTCAGGCAAAAGCATGTGGCCAAGGTAAGGGTGACGTTGCTGTTTGCATGAACGAAACAAATGGTAACGTGATCAACCTTGGAGTTACGAGCCAACAGCTGGCCTTCATGGGAGAGACGTTGGTCTTAACTTACAGGTAAATATGTCAGGTCAGATTACAAGCAGTTTGTAAGATAATGAACATGGTGCATTGTGGTCTAGCTTGGGTACAAACATCTTTAGTTCATCATGCCTTATATGGCTACGTGCAAGTTCAGAAAATTGGCGGGAAATTGTCTACACCTGTTATTCACTTTTGAGCCCAATAGACCTCTTCGGCTCTGACGTAATGTTTTCCCATTTCAGACCACCTGTCATTCCCTAGAGTATCATTTCTTTGTTTAAGGTTTGCGCTCGGTTGCACATGAGAAGACACATGAATATGGATACAAGTCAAAAAAAGAATATTATTCTCAAGGGAATGACACGTGGTCTGAAATGGGAAAACATTACCCCAAGCCGAAGAGGTCTATTCTCTGTTATTTGTTGAATATGCTCCATCTCAGCCTTTGTACATCAGTTTCTGACCAAGAAAAAAAGGGAATTTTATAAAGTTTTGAAAATGAAAATGAAATGAAAATGGCTGACACTAAACAAATATGAAAGAAAGACCGCAAATACCGTAGAGGAAAAGTGCGATTCCTTTAGTGTTTTATTTTAATGTTTGCCTCACATCTAAGACAATTTTAAGAAGTGCAAATAAATACTGTTGTTTTTATTGAAAAATCTTTGTTTTTTTAGAAATGGTGACCGTGATATAAACAATGGCTTTCCTAGGATCACAAAGGTTAGGTTCTATTGTAACCCTGAAGAGCCCCTTGGTCAGCCGAAGTACATTGAACAAGCAAGCGAGAAGGATGGTGAAGTGTTCTACTTTGATTTCCAGACGTCTCTGGCGTGTTCTGCCAAACAGGTGCAGTGTGCTGTTGTGGGTCCCAGAAATAAGAAATATGATTTAACACCTTTGGGTTTAATAAATGGTAAGTTTGTGATTCTTCGCCTCTCTTGACTGACCAACCACCTCTCTTGACTGATGAACCACCTCTCTTGACTGACCAACTCTCTTGACTGATCACCTCTCTTGACTGATCAACCACCTCTCTTGACTGACCAACCACCTCTCTTGACTGACCTCCTCTCTTGACTGACCACCTCTCTTGACTGACCACCTGTCTTGACTGACCGCCTGTCTTGACTGACCGCCTGTCTTGACTGACCACCTGTCTTGACTGACCACCTGTCTTGACTGACCACCTGTCTTGACTGACCACCTGTCTTGACTGATCACCTGTCTTGACTGACCACCTGTCTTGACTGACTGCATGTCTTGATCGACTGCCTGTCTTGACCAACCGCCTTTTCTCCCTAGGTAACTGGGAAGCAGTAGACACCCGTGCAGCATACAGCCATCTTCACTATTACATCAACATATGTAAGGCTATCAATCCTTCAGCTTCCAATGACATCAAGTGTCCAGGAGGTGCCATAGGTGCTTGTCAGGTGGACCACAAGACATCCATGGGACATAATCTTGGTTATATACAGAGTAATCCTGTAATTACGTCTGATGGTGAGGTAACCATACGTTACTATGGTGGAGATGCTTGTCATGGTAAATACAACAGAAGCACAAGAATCAACCTGTCTTGCTCAAAAACTATGGTATGCGAATGAATGAATGAATGTATCAATCAATCAAAAACTTTATTCACATTCAAATTCTTAATAGTACATAGATGCTAATATCTAATAACCTGGAGAACCCGAAGAAAAACCCTTGAAGCACAGGAGAGAACCAACAAACAACTCTACTCATGTATGACACCAAGATTGGCAGGACTCGAACCCAGTTCACATGGGTGAGAGATGACAAATTTGCGATGCGAGCCACCCGTGCTTCCTAAATACACCAGGTTACACCTGGTTACYCTTGTGAGCCATCATATTAAACTCTAATACACCAGTTTCGCATTCGATGCATACCGCTGTTTTTGAAGACCACAGACTCATTTGCACAGGCTTATCCTCGTTTATAAGTCAGCTATTCACAGATACCATTAAAAGTCCATGGGATTTCAAAACATTGGTATTGTAGAACTTGCACATTCATTACATTACAGTTGACTTTTGCAAACGATTTGCTCTTAAGCGAGGCTAAGCCTGTGCAGATGAGTCTGCAGTCATAAAATACAGCGGTATTTACCGAATGAGAAAAGGGACTATCGTCTTTCCTTGTTTCTTTCACAGGGATCCCCTGTGTTCCGTGGAGAGACCCCTGAGTGTGAGTACATCTTCCATTGGGAGACGCCCAGTGCATGTCCGCTGACCAGTGAATACGGCACGGGTTGTACAGTGATTGACAGGCAATACAACTATCAGTTTAACTTTTTGTCTTTGAGTGGAAAGGATTATAGTGTTTCTGGCCTCCCTGGCGGCGGAACTGTGAAGTTTGACGTGTGTGAGAAGATCACAGGCACGTCTTGCAAGGGTGAAAACGTTGCAGCCTGTCTGAGTACCGCTGGTGCAYCAGGTAACCTTTTATTGCATTGATTATTTTCCGTAGAACTTGTTAATTTTGGCAATCTCTCCCTACTTCACGTGTCATATTGGCCCTTGATAATGAAATTCTTTGTTTGCATGTCATCAATGCTTACCTAATAGACCATTTTGAAATCCCAAATTACCGCTGTGTTTCTTGATTACTGACTCATTTACACAGGGTTAGCCGCTCGACTTTGTGCAAAATATTCACGTGTTCCAGTCAAGGTCCGTCAAGTTTCAAAGTGTTTTTATTGTTGAAGTTGTGCAATCTTTACTTTACCGTTGGTATTTGTGAATATTTAAACACTGATTCGAGGCTAAGCCTGAGTAAATGAGTCTGTAATCAAGGAACACAGCCGTGATTTTGAACTCGAAAACGATCTATTTATCTTGTCAAGTTTTACTGATAAACAAAGAAATGATTCTCAAGGGAATGACATATGGTCTGAAATTGATCTATTTAAAAAAAGGTGGTCCTGTTTTTTTTAAATACTTTTGTAATAAATATTTTTTACAAGGGGAAAAATTGTTCTAAAGATTTTAAAGTGGTGAGGTGAAAACTGGACCAATGGTACTGGTGGTTAGGGCCCTCAAGGGCGGATCCATGGGGGGCCGCCCCCCTTCAGCGGAAAAAAATCACAACAAAACGAAAGAATTAGATGCTTTTTTTATTGTTTTCCGTTGTGTTGACGGAAGAAACTCAATTAGAACCCCCCCCCCCCCAATTTTGGCTGGATCCGCCCTTGGCCCTGAGATATGAATACGATGCATATTTACATATCTTTTCTTTATCTCATCCAGAGGGCACAATCTTGGGCACGACATCCAACAACATAACCTACCTGGACGGGGAACTCTTCATCTTGTACCGCACATCAACCTGCTCCTTGAAGGTAACCTTTGAATGCGACCAGGAAGGCAAAAACAAACAACCAGTCTTCGAGAGTCTGAAGGACACCTGTTACTACAGCATCCGCTTCCCAACTATACTGGCATGCCGACCCTTTGCGCATGTGCAGTGTAGTCTTCGGCGGGAAAGCAACGATAAGATGTCGGATCTACAGTATGACTTTACACCTCTGGCAAAGAGAAATGGAAATTGGAAGGTAGATGGGATTATTTTTCTTATTGCCATCAAAGTGTATCAGTTTTGTTATCAGCATATCATTTTGTTATTGCAGGCAGTGACGTCTTCTTCATCCAATACTAGCCCTACTTACTGGATCAACGTTTGTCAGCCGATTCACCAGACCGGAGATGCCAGATCTTGTCCTCCGACTGCTGGGGTGTGTAAATATGATCCTGTAAAGAAAAGGTAATGTCGATAAATTGTCAGTATAACTAACATTATCATCAACATCATCACTGTGGACCACTAACACCACCATCACCATTTCATCCTCATGCATCTTCATCAACACCATAATGTGCCGTCACCATGCATACATCATGCGTCATCATCAACACCATCATCATTTCATCGTCATGCATCTTCATCAACACCATAATGTGCCGTCATCATGCATACATCATGCGTCATCATCAACACCATCATCATTTCATCGTCATGCATACATCATGCATCATCATCAACACCATAATGTGCCGTCATCATACATACATCATACATCATGCATCATCATCAACGCCATCATCATCAACACCATCATCATTTCATCGTCATACATCTTTATCAACACCATGTGCCGTCATCATGCATACTTTCATGCATCATCATCAACACCATCATTTCATCGTCATGCATCTTCATCAACACCATAATGTGCCGTCATCATGCATACATCATGCATCTTCATCAACACCATAATGTGCCGTCAC